TTCCAGCCAAACAAAAGACAGGCATATGAGTTGAACATTTACCTGAGGTAGATACACTCCTCGGAGAGAACAGTCATGGGAGAAAGAAGGAAAGAAGGGCTGCTTATGCACAGGGAGACACCTCGGGGGGCAGGAGTGCATGGAGGGATGGACACAGAGAAGAGGTAACTATGTGGAGGAAGTGGGAGGGGTGCTATCGCGTTGTCATAAACTGTGGTCAGTGTCATGAGACAAAGTGTATGTGAACTGCTGTATGGAAAGTGAATTTGTTCTGTAAATCTTCACCCAAATCACAATAAAAAAAGAAATACGTGTGTGGGGACTGGTGGGTCTAGTTTGTAAAGGTTATTATGTTATGCTGAATTGTTTATCCTGAAATCATCAACTAATAAATCAGTGAATGATAGGATTCTGTCTCTGTGTTGGAAAGAGTTCTTAGTAGTGTGGAGGGAGATTGATGAGAAGAAAGCCTGGAGACCAGGCTGAAGATGACGAGACTCTAAGGTAAAGCAGTGACAGTGAGTACACATGAGAAGAGTTAGATTTAAGAGACATTTTAGGAGTAGAATTGATTGTTGTATACTGGAAAGAGCATGAAGACAGTTTGGAAAGAGAAAGCTGTGGATTTAAGTACCAGTTTTAGCCACTTCTTAGCTCTTTGTTCTTACTGTTGTTAGGTGCTTTCTAGTCGATTTCAACTCATAGCAACCCCATGTAACAAAGTAGAACTGCCCTGTAGGGTTTGCCAGTCTATAAAATCCTAGGCAAATTCACTACTCTGAGCCTCAGTTTGCCATCTGTAAAAGATAGATAATAACAATCCCTGCTTAATAAGGTTGATGTAAAAATAAATGAAATAAAATATTTACAAGTGTTGGGGAACAACAACCCAAAAGTTCTATGCAAATATTATAGCTTAGGAGTAAGGGAAAGGAAAGAAACATAGATGGCACTGAGGTATCTGTCTGGGTTGGGCTTAGATAAGAGATAGTGAGTAGGATTTGGGATGTATTGAAGTTTGGGCTATATGAATATCAGGGCAGTTGGAAATGTAGATCTGAGAGGTAACATATAGAGAAATTTGAAACTATAGCTATGGGGGAGATTCCATGGGAACCCCAAATGGACAGTCTTGTTTCCCTTGTCTCCCTGCCAGTGTCCTGCACGTCTCTCAGATTCAGAGAATGAAGAACCTGCTCGAGGCAAGATGATACAGACACATCGCTCGGCATTTGTTTCTAAGAACAACTCCTACTCCCTAGCTTTCTTGGCAGGGTAAGAAACTGATACTGAATTCGTTCAGGGTTCTTTCATTTTAGGGTATGAGACAAAAGGGACTGGGGAACAAAGATGTTTGTTATTGCTACTTTGGGGGAGGTAGAAGGGAAGAAAAGAGGTGGAAATTAGTTGTCAAATATGGGTTAGGGAGAAAGGGATGCCCTGAATTTTGTTTTGCTTATTAAATTTTTGGTGAAAATATACACAACAAAGCATAAACACATTCAGTAATTTTTACATGTACAGATCAGTGCCATTGGTTACATTCTTCACATCATCTCACCATTCTCACTCTCTCTACCCATATTGTTTCACCACCATTAACTTTTACTCTCTATTCCCTTTAATGTTCCCATCTGCCCTTTAGAATTCCCGTTGTCAGTTTGATCTCATGTAGATAACTGTTTACAAGAGCAAAATGTTTAAGACTGACATCCTATTAATTGAGCTAAATGATTGTTTTATTTACAGATGACTTCATGGGATAGTTCGATTCAAGGTTTAAAGAGTGTTTCAGAACAGTAGATTCAAGGGTTCTCCCAGTCTCAATGGGTGCAGTAAGTCTGGCTCCTGTTACAGAGATTTGATGTTCTGTTCTACATTTTTGCTCCTTCTGATTTAGGATTCATCTTTTGGTCTTTGATCAGAGTGTTCAGTAATGGTAACTGGGCACCAACCATTTATTTTGGTCTCATGGCAAGGGAGTAGAAGTTCACGAAGGCAATTAGCCCTGCAGTCCATTTCTTTCTTCAGTTCCTGGGACTCCTACTGTTTGTGGCAAATAAGAGACCGATTATTACATCTTGGGTGGCCACTCACAGTTTTAAGACTGCAAGGTTCCTTGCCTTTTTTTAAAAAAAATAAAATTTACCCATTTCTACCATCCTCAGCATAGAATTATGCCAGTTGCTCTGCTGCAAAGTGTGAACTTTCTGACCTGGTGGGAAAGACAAAATCTTCAGTCTGATAATATTCATGGACTATCCCTCTGAACTTTTTCTCTTATAGAAAGTGAGGCCAGAGTTGATTTTATTTTCAATGCATAGACCTAAAATATGTGTTGATTCAAGAGGGCAAACAGAAACATTTTTAAGATCTTCTCAGAGAATCTCCTTAGACTTTGCAGGCCACAGGGAGGATAGGAGGGAGGAACGGACAGATGTTGAATGATGAAGGCATAATGGAGGGAAGAAAGAAGGAATCATTCTTCTTCAGCAGATACTTTGTCAACAGCTGCTATGTGTCATGCTATATCACTTTAGAGATGAAAAGATACATCTTTACCAAAGTTTGCTATTTGTTTGCTTGTTAGAACTGACATTACCCACCCTTATCCCTGGGGTTCCTCACTTTCCCCCCACAACACTATGTAGTGGGTCTTTCTTTCCTGATGCCCCTATGACCCTTTCATCTTAAGGCTTTTACTGCTTGTCACTAGTGAGTAGGAAAAGTAAATAAATAAATAAACTGCCACAGCTTAAGAATTTTATAAATTGTGATCCCTGATGTAGTTTGTATTTCTGAATCCCTTTTGTATATGTTCTTTTGGAGTAGTCTTATTTTTCTGTTATTTCTGAGAATTAAATTCACTAAACTCCTTTCTGTAATTGCCTTCCTTTCTCTAGGTATTGGAAGTACCTTTTTCCAGAAGGCCCCTTCCCAGAATATTTATTCACTCATTTAACATTTGCTTAATGGCTACTGTATTGCAGCCACTTAGACTTGTTTGATATATTAGGACCCAGTAATTAAGGTGTAAGCCAATGTCCTTTCCATTTATGATAAAGATAGGACTCTTGCATTGTATGTTTGAGCTTTGAAGTACTCTCTAAAGTTAAAAAATCCAAGATTGCTTGACTAAGAATTATCACCTGCTAATTGTGTATATAGGGAGCTCTGGTGGAGTAGTGCCTAAGGCATTTGACTGCTAACCAGAAGGCTCGTGGTTCAAACCCACCAGCCTCTCCTCAGAAGGAAGATGGGGCAATCTACTTTTGTAGAGATACTGCCTCAGAAATCCAAGGAGCAGTCTCAGTGGGTCGGGATAAACTTGACAGCAGTGAGTTTGGTTTTAATTGTGTGTAGATAGATTCTTTTTTTTTCATTTTTTATGTTTATAATAAACTCACTGCCGTTGAGTCAGATACGACTTGTAGCTGACCCCTCCTTGGGTTTCAGAGGCAGTATCACTATGGAAGTAGATTGCCCCGTCTTCCTTCCAAGGAGTGGCTAGTAGGTTTGAACTGCTAACCTTCTGGTTAGCAGTCAGATAAGCATATCTTAATGATTATAAGAAGAAGGATCTACTGGAGAGAAAAAATGATCATATAGCTTATTCTAATCAGGTTTTAATAAATAACATCCTGAAGCTAATAAGAGTCCCTGGGTAGGGCAAATGGTTAATGCTCTCAGCTGCTAACCAGAAGGTTGGAGGTTTAAGTCCACTAGAGATGCCTTGGAAGAAAGGCCTGGTAATCTACTTCTGAAAACTCAACCGTTGAAAACCTTATGGAGCACAGATCTACTCTGATACAGATGGGGTTCTCTAGGAGTCAGAATAGACTTGATGGCATCTTATTGGAAACTAATAAATGTCACTTTAGGTAATCTGTGATAATTAATATTTTGTAATTTGAAATGACTTAGAAAAAATGAAATTTTATATTAAAATCCAGATGTGATCCCAAGGGTCAATTATTGCACCAATTAGTTGGAATAGAAATTGAACAGATGAGTTACTTATCACCAATTCTAGTTTCTACCCTGGTAGCTCATTCTTTTGAAAGGGTTAGCAGGTTAATATGCCATTACTTAGAAATGCCTACCAAGAATCTTAGGAAATTCTCCCTAAGGGCAAAATGCAAAGTCTGTACAGAGGGGTATGCTGTCCTTACGTGTGTCTCTGGACTATATGTTATACATTTTCTTTTCCTGCTTCTTACCCCATACTTGCCTTTAGCCTATGTCATTGAACCACAGTAGGACTAATTTATAGCAAAATACTCATTTAATGAGTTAAGAAATGTTTGTGATCATACATTTCTGGACTTCAGGTTTTATTTTTTCCCAGACATCCAAGGTTATAGGTTGACTTCACTTATTAGTACAGTTATTACAAGTAATTGGATTTAGTTGACAGGGTGACATTTTTAAGAAATACTTTGCTGATGTCATGGAAACCTTAAAGCCGAAAATCTGTGGTTTGCATGTCTTATTTAGTCAATATGCTTTTTTCCTTAGATAAGAAATTATTAAGTTTCAATTCCAAATTATATTTAGGAAAACAATATGAAATTGTGTTGATAATGAGAAATAGCATCAACAGTCTGCATACAACAGATTTAGCATCGTTCATAGTTTTTTTATATTCAAAATGCATTTATTTCTTTAAAGCAGCAACAAAAGAATAGGTTTTGTTTCTCTCCAAGTTCTTTTCCTAGAGAGAGTTCATAAGTAATTTTTAAGTTTTTGCATTGGTGGGTGTTTGAATCAAATGAATCTGTGATTTGTTTACTCATCTGCTATATAAATGTTTCTTTTTGAAGCCCAAAAGTATAGAGCTAAGGATGAGTAGGCATAACTAATAGGATCAGTAGATTCTGGCCACTGGTTCAGCTTAATGTTATTTGGAAAATTGAAAGTAAAGAGGGCTTTATAGCCATATTAATTTCTAAAGCCCTTTGAAAATGAAACTTCTTATCAATAGGCAGATAAAGTAATAGTTAATTTTAAGTTAATCACAAAATACTTGTTAATTGGAAAAAAAATTAACTTGGAACATAAGTAGGATATATTATTGTAAAGTTAAACTTTTATTTTTAGTACCAGAAAAACTGTCTTTCATTCTTCCTGTCTACCTCCTCCTTCTCTCTGTTCTTCCTCCCTCCCTCTCTTCTTCTTTCCTTCCGTCCCTCCTCATTCTCCCCTCCACGTGCAGCTACCGGTCACCCAGAATCAGACAGAAAAACCTGGTAGCAAATTCTTCTTAAAGCCCAGCCTAGAAAAACTTGCTCTTGTTGAGTTATGTCTTTTTCTTTTTTTAAAGAGCTACATGTCCAGTTGCAATTTCTTCTTTGCTTGGGCTATCAGGAGTTTTAATTCATTCACCATGGCTTTCCAACATCATAGTTTTCTGAAAAATAATATTTGCTATCCATTTCTCACACGTTATTTAATTTAGTCTTTAAGGCTCAGTCTTTATGCATTTTTAGTATAAATCACTTCAAATTTTTCTTGGAAATAGTATGTAAATCATACAAAGGAATATAATAAATTGTTCCCTTTCCAATTTAAAAAGAAAAAAAAAGTGATGCAATAATACCAGTATGGCTGTTTAGTAGAAAAACAGTATTTTAATTAAGTCTGTAAGTCTTTATGGAAGCAGACTGTCTGATCTTCCTTCTGCAGAGCAGCTGGTGGATTCAAACCACTGACCTTTTGATTAGCAACCAAAGGCCTTAACTACTACACCACCAGAGCTCCCTAAAATCAGGTTTCTAGAGGGGGTTTAAAGCAGCCTTTTGAAGGGTTGAGGAAAAGATGTCAGGGAATTCAAAGAAAGGGGTGAGGCCAGACAGAAAGTTCCTTAAAAATCTAAAGATTAGATGTAGCAAGTTGTGGGTGGGGAATAGTAAAACAGTGACTAGAGGGAGGGAAGACTGAGAGAAAGATGAAGCAGTGAGTTTAAAAAAAAAAAAAGCAAGAGAAAAACTGCAGGGTATGATGATGGCCTGGGGTAGGTCATCTGTTAAGGGGTGGGTAAAAAGGGCGATAAAGGAATTGATAAATCAGTTAGTTACTAAGAGGACAAATCCTTTTAAAAGTAATGGAATATGGTTGGAAAAAGAAGATGACTTAAAGAAAAGTGATGTGGAACTTAAGAAATGGATGACGGGTTTTAGATTTTCCAGTAATATCTCTGCCATTTTAGAAGTAGAAGCATTCAGGTAAGTTTCAGAAAGGTATAATGGGATGGTGAAGGGTATTATCAGGGGAAC